TTCAAAAGACAAGTGAAACTTTTGTTTTTACAGGCACAGTGACGGCAGCCAACGCTAGTACGCTGAACGATGGTGCGGCGGCTCTCGTGCTCATGACAGCAGATGCGGCAAAGAGGCTCAACATCACACCGCTTGCAAAGATCGTTGGTGAGGCAATTCACTCCTCTTAAATTAAATTAATTTTTATAGTGCGTGTTGTTCATTGGAACAGATACTGCGGTGGTTGACAGTTTACGTAGCAATGTTTTATTTTTTAATCCCCAGATTTATTTTGCTCATGTTTCGTTAAGTTGTGTTTATTACAGTTTAAATAAAGTATCAAAAGCATGTAATCATATGGTTTTATTGAACAAAACTGTTGAAATATATAATGTATTATAAACAATGTTTTTATGTTGGTAAATTTGACAACATTCATTCTTCTGACTTCCTTTATCAGTCTCTCTAAACACAATAGTAGTGCTTTTTTTTTTTAAGCAAATGGGAAAACAAAAGTTATATTTGCTTTGGTCTCCCATGCACTACTATGTTTACCTATGACAACTTTGGCTTCTTAGAACCCTGGAAATGTGAAAAGGGTCCATTGAGGCAGTTTTGACCAACCTTACCTGGCTGATGGTGACCTGAAACTAATTTATGCTACAAGATTTTATAAATTGGAAAAAAAAAAATAGTTTGAACTATAATATGTTTGAAATGTGAATTATGTTTCACAATGTTTTGAAACTTACCAAAAACCATCCAAATTATTATTAATAACAGAATCCACACATGATATATCACTATTATCTTTACCACAGCATTGGTTAGCATCTTTAAAGCCAATTTTTAAATGACATTATGCTCGTAAGTGCAATGGGTCCTTGAGGATATTTTTTTCCTTTGGCCGAAGGTATGTTCATTTACTTGGTTTGTTAATGTACCTGTGTTATTAGATGATTTGCTGAAGGTCTCTGTTAATTAGTAAACACAATTAGATGCAAAATTAGAGTTGTTGGTGACATTAAAGAGATTCTCCACCCAAAAATGAAATTTCTCATAAGTTATTCACCTTTATGTCATTCCAAGCTTGAATGGCTAAGAACAATTTGAATTACTTTAAAATATATATATATAACACAAATGAGTTAACGATTTTTCTCAGTTGTAAGCAACATTTCAGCAAGAGAAAAGAAACGTTTTGTTCTTCCAGGGAACTTGACGGTGACTCTTTTCCGAGTCTATAAATAATCCACCTGCAGCACCTTGACCAAAAAACCCCCCTCAAGACTCCACCTCCAGACACCGCTCTTATCACGTCACATAACACCTTATGATGATTCTACTGAGTACTCGGAGACTGTTTATCAAGTCCTAATTTTAAGTTTCTTCCTTCTATTTGTCATTGAAATGTTATTGTGCTTCAATCAAAGAGACAGACGTGCGAGTCAAATATTAACAGGATGTTGTGAGAGCACTTGTAACGTCATGGATGTCAAAGTATCGGCTCATTGACTCAGTTACTGAATAACAGCAGGGCCGAGACTGACCCCTGTGTGAGAGCTGAGTTTGGAAAACCATGCATTTTAATAGTGCAGATGATCTTTGCAGCTTGTTTTTAATGTGGCAGTTGTGTGAACAGTGCGTCGGGAAATTGAACAGGAAGTCTAGTTAGCTACATCTTCTAACAGATTAAACCTTCATCATATAAAGCCTTGTAATGTTTTTATAGCTTTTAGCTGTTCAGGTGATTCTTGGTAATGTACGAAATGATTGAAATGATAACTTACAGTTGTCCTTGTTCATATATGTTTTCATATATGCCATTGAAACTAGCTAAAAAGAACACTCTTGTGTAACATAAGATTGTTTAGTTTTCTCAGATACACAAAGTTAAAAGGTCGCATCTGTTGACACACATGGGGGATAGTGTTTGATTTGCTGTTTGCCATGACTTAAAGGGGTATTTAAAGGAATAGTACATCTGATAATTCATATTTTTGTCATTTACTCATCCTCATGCCATTGTCTGCTGCTGTTTTCCCTATAGTGCAAGTAAATGGTGACCAGCAACTGATTTTTCAAGCTCCAAAAGTGTTGAAAAGCACCATTAAAAGTACCAAATCAGTACATTTCAAGTCTTCTTAAATCCTACAATAGATTTATGAAAGGGAAAGACTGGAATTTAAGACATTATTTGCTCATTCGCATATATATATATATTCAAATAATAGTTAACTAAAATGGAAACTAAAACAGCAGCAACAAAGAAACCTTACGTGAAATTAAATGAAATATTGAAAAAAAGAATTACTTAAAATATAAAAATAAAAACAAATTCAAAATATTAGTATTATTATTAAATATTAATGAAACCTATGTAGTATATCAGCTATAACAACACTGGTGCTTCAACAATACCAAACCTGTTTGATTCTCATGTCTTTTGCAAGTGAAAGGGAATATTTAGTGCACCTGCAGAATGCAAATTGCCTGCATGCTTAATTTGTACAAATAAGATTTGAGCTATGAAGTGGAAGGTTTTCAGTGTGAACAACTAAACTTTTGGTTCAGTTCCCACACAAAGCTACCATATGACTTCAGAAGACTTGAACCATAGTATTCAAATCACAGAGGCTAAAGTTAAGGAACTCATGGTGATGTTATGTTTTGAGAAAAAGAGTACATTTGCGTTTGCAAGCCGAGGAAACTTCTTTTAAAAGATAAAAACACATGTAATCTCATATGTTGCAGGTGTACCCCATTCAAAACTTTTACTGTGAAATTAAGTGAGCATGAAGGAAATGCCTTTAATTTTTTCCTATTATTGACACACCTCGTTTAGTTAGTTGCACAGTGATTTACAATGCAAAGTTGTGTCATCTATGTTGGAGAAATGTAAGTCCACTGTTATTCTTTTATTGTTGAAAAGAATAACAGTGGAATGCTGCAAGTTATAAACTCTTTAGTTCTGTTCACCAGGTGATATTTTATATTCACCCGACTGATGAGTGTTTCAGCTGGTTTACCAAGCAAAAGTGTGGCATTGGCTGCTCATTACACATACAGAGAGTCCGCTAACACTCAAACACAAGGAGAACCCTCTTGTCAGGTGAGTTTTACTATATATTATTATCATTTGTATGGCAAAATATATAATTTCATACAAATATGTTGCTGTTTCTGAGACTAATGCATGTTTTGCTGTATGTTCAGTCAGCAGATCTTAGTTTGAGAAGTGTTTTTTGGATTGCGTTTTGCAGTTCAAACGAAGCCAAAGGCAAACGATGCAGACAACAGATACGGTAACGACATGATCTATTCAGGTTTGTTATGATGGTATTTAATATTCACCAATGTAATATTAATATTTTTATATGATAATACCAACTCATACAAATATAATCCCTACCACAAAATACAACAACTATTATTTTTAAATATTAATAATAGCAATAATAATAGTTGTTGTATTTACTATTGTTTTTGTATGGTATTTTAATATTCAGCAATTAACGTAGTTGATAATATATTAACATTGAATATTACTTGGCTCCTGTTACAAAAAAATACTTCTATAAAATAAAATATTCATTCTGTTTATGTAACAATATAATATTTAATTTCAAGTAGTCTATACTGGACATTTAGACTTAAGTACATGAAATCTGAAATTAGGAATTTTTTTACCAGTGTTGTAAGATAAAAGCAAGTACAGCTCATTTCCTGTCTCTACTGCATGTAAAATGTTGATGAAATATTGAATATTGAAGTTAATCATTTATTACACAGTGTCATTAAAAGAGTAAGTAGTGAGTATTATTGTTCAAATGAGGAACAATGTTTATTTAATAGGTATGTATTTCCTGGAACAGTCTGCACATTGTTGTTAGTCATATAGTAATTGTTAACATGGACACAGTAGTCCAAAGTAACTTTTTTATGCATATTTTTCTAATTTGATATCCTTTTCAAGCAAAACAGCTTGTGAAGGCCTTTCAAACTTGAGAAACTGACAAAACCCTAGACTTACGACAATGTTTCTCAAGTGAACTATGGTTTCCAACATGAAGAGCAGCGGCACCCTCCGTATGCGCCTCCTTCTGGAATAAACCCGGCTTTACCTCAGTACCCCGGGCCCCCAAAACCCACAATATCTATACCAGAATTCCCCTCCGCCATACTTTTCAGAGATACTCGCCTGCTCAGAGCCTGCGTCAGTATACGCCTCAAACAGCACCTGTTAATAAACACCACACGGTCACACCTAGACCCTACCGTGACGTTAATCCGGTTCACAAAGGTATTTAATGCTTCTTAAAGGAATAGTTCACCAAAAACGAATCATTTACTTACCCTCACGTTGTTCCAAACTTGTATGGATTTCATTCTTCTGTTGAACACAAAAGATGATATTTTGAAGAATGTGTGTAGCCAAACATCATCTGGCACCCTTTAGTATTTTACTATGGATTACTATGGAAGCCAATGGGGACCAACAACTGTTTAATTACCCACATTCTTCAAAATATCTTCTTTTGTCTTCAACATACAAGTTTGGGTGAACTATTCCTTCTAACCTATTTTAGTCATTTTCATGTTCTAAATATTGGCTCTAATGAACTTTGATTCTTTGACAGCTTCCAGGAGAGAAAAAAAAAGGCCATTTATCCTTGGAATAGTCATCACCCTACTGGTCGTTGCTGGGGTCATAGCTGTGGTGCTCTAGTTTTAGGTTAAGAAACTCACACACTGGATGTCCTACAGTTCATCTACCCAGTGATTTCTTGCTCTCATGTCCTTTGTCTACTCCAACAGGTGTGTTTGATTGTTTGCAAGGGCGTCACTGTAAAACATCTTGCAGTGGTGTGATGGCGTGCAGGACTGTCCATCAGGAGATGATGAAACTCAGTGCTGTAAGAATCCCTTACACATATTGTCCGACATGTTGAATTGATCCCATTCGAAGATCTTTACTGTACTTTCTATTGTTGTATTTGTAGTTCGTCTGTTTGGATCAAATTTCCTTCTTCAGATGTATTCAAATGTGACCCAAAAATGTGAGAATGTGTGTGCAACCTCTGAATACAAGCATGTGAGGATATGGGATACGAGAGGTAATGCTAGAAGTCTGTTAATACTATTGTATAATGACCTTTACACAAGATTTCTGTTTCAAATGAATGCTGTTCTTTGAAACTCATCAAAGAATCCTGAAACAAATTGGCAGTTGCCACAAAAAATATTAAGCAGCTCAACTGTTTTCATTATCAATAATAATAATACCGTACTAAGTGCTTTATGAGCACCAAATCAGCATATGTGACCCTGGACCACAAAACCAGTCCTAAGGGTCAATTTTTTTTCGAAATTGAGATTTATACATCATCTGAAAGCTGAATAAATAAGCTTTCCATTGATGTATGGTTTGTTAGGATAGGACAATATTTGGAAATCTGGAATCTGAGGGTGCAAAAAAATCTAAATATTAAGAAAATTGCCTTTAAAGTTGTCCAAATGAAGTTCTTAGCAATGCATATTACAAATCAAAAATGAAGTTTTAATATATTTACAGTAGGAAATTTACAAAATATCTTCATGGAACATGATCTTTACTTAATGTCCTAATGATTTTTGGCATAAAAGAAAAATCAATAATTTTGACCCATACAATGTATTTTTGGCTATTGCTATAAATATACCCCAGCGACTTGTGACTGATTTTGTGGTCCAGGGTCACATATTAGAATGATTTCTGAAGGATCATGTGAAAAATTATGCTGAGAATTTAGCTTTGACATCACAGGAATATTAGTACATTTACAGAATGTGTTTTTGTATGAGGTGATTTGTAATATGTGCTGTGTGTTTGTGTGTGGTTTATCTCTAAGGAACGCTTATGTGGGTTATTAGGAGATTTACTCTAGAGCATCGACTGACCACATGCTGGTGAAGACAGATTCTCTCAGCTCTTCCAATCTGACAGGTTTTCACAGTAAAACGTGCGCAACAGAGTTCTGTTAATACATAATTTTCTAGTTCTTCATATCTAAAAGGTTTAGGTTTTACATGTTGGTTATTTTATAGCAGTTAACATTAATTAATTGGTTAGTAGTGTTCCCTATAATTAGCTTGTTTAAAAACTCTTCGTTTTATATTTCCCTTATGATAATTCAGTTCAGACTGTCCATCTAACAAAGCAGTGGCACTCAAATGTACAGGTTAGATAATAGTTGCAAGTTCTTTTTATTTTATTTTATTTTTATTTTTGTGTGTGTGTTTGTGAAATAAATATTTAGGTGTAATAAAACAACATTAATATTAAACTAAATTAAAAGGAAAACTGAAAAATATAAAAATAAACACAAATTCATAAGGTTATTAAATACTATAAAAGTACATAAATAATACAATAACACTGATCCCAATGTACACATTTGTTGCCATCTTTTACTCAATCTCATATGAATGATGAGAGTTTTCATTTTTGGGGTGAACCAACCTTTTAAATATTATAATTACTGTAAAATATTAATATGAAGTGTAGCTTGTAGCTAGGAAAGCTACACTTTTCACATACGCTGATACTGATCTCTGAATCCTGTTGTAGATTGTGGACGGGACAGCAGGACCCGAATCGTGGGAGGAACCACGGTGACCTCTAAGGCATTTGTGTGGCGGGTCTGTCATTACACCTTACTGGATCATCACAGCGGCTCACTGTGTGCATGAGGAAGTACTCTCGTTTAGTACAGTCTCGTTTGACAATTTATGATGAACTCTAATAAATGACAAACTGGTGTAGGAACTCCGATGCAAGGGATTGGACTGTGTATGCTGGATATCTGACTCGTACCGAGATGCTGTTGGCCACCGGCAATTCTGTAAGCCGAATTGTCACGCACAACTTTGAACCGAGGACCAATGAGAATGACATTGCCCTGATGAAGCTAAACGTCCACTCACGATTACATGTAAGAGTGAATTTTACAATTTTCCCCCAGCCAATAAGAAAATTTCACGATCATTTAATAATACTGACACGTTAAGTGACAATAAATTAAAACAAAGTGTTTTTGTTTCACACTTGATCTGTGCTGGCAAACTGGAGGGCGGCGTGGACTCCTGTCAGGTCAGAAACACACTCTGTATAAACACAGTTAGAAGCTGCTTGATCATTCAAAAGAGTAAATTAGAGTAGAGTAAATGTAATTTATGTGCCAAAGGCCAAATTAAATAAGTGCTCTTCCACACAGGGGGACAGTGGGGGTCCTCTGGTCACAAAAGAGAATTCTCTATGGTGGCTGGTTGGGGACACTAGCTGAGGTGATGGATGTGCTTTCAGAAACAAGCCTGGAGTCTACGGAAATGTGACCTACTTCCTTGACTGGATATGTGAACAAATACAGGTAAGATTTCAAATATAAATCCAAACTGTGTCACAGAAAATGTACTATTATTATTATTATTATTATTATTATTATTATACATGGCAGAAGAAAAACACCTCTTTTTGGAATTTTTTTTTTTCAGAGATATTAACTTTTTTTAATATAAAGATTTTTGAGAAGAGCAACTGATCCAAATCGCTGACTCTCAGGAACTGTGACAGTGTCCAAGAGACTTTTAATGTAAGATTTTTTTTTTATAGTCTTGTTTTTGTTTATTTTATTTTTTGCTTTCATATAAATGTTTTCACATAAATCTAAAATAACCAGTTATTTATTTTCACCAGTGTCAATAATGAAGTGAATTGCACATTATGCTACAATATGCACTTTTCTCTCTTTTTTTGTTGTATGTTTTGTATAAAGAGCACAATTGTAAATTTGTATATAATATTTGAACATATAAATTTGTAAAAATGTTGCAGTATCCGAGTCCATGTACAAAATTGCTGAAATATGAACATTTCAAATGTGAGATAGATAGATAGATAGATAAATAACATTTTTATATAAAGATATTTGAAAATGTTATCTGTACTGTGTATATATATATATATATATATATTATTGCAGTATTTTCATCTGTGACTAAATGATTCCAGATAACTTTACGAGATCTAAAATAACAGAGCCTTCTACTGGGTATATATTGCCGGCAGCCATATCACCCTGTAGCCCAAGACTGGTTGCCCACTAAAGCTAAGCAGGGTTGAGCATGGTCAGTACCTGGATGGGAGACCTCCTGGGAAAACTAGGTTGCTGCTGGAAGAGGTGTTAGTGAGGCCATTAAAATTATATATAAATGTTCTTTTTTGGCTTTGCGGAGCATTAAGTCTCATAATTAGCTGACCAAACCACAGGAGTAAAACTCCTATGACCCATTTTCCTCAGCTTTTCTTCACGCCTAAAAAAATGAATTCACACCAACCCTCGGAGTCCTCACGGTTCCTGGCTCTCAGTTAATCACCATTATGAAGTGTTATAGCATATTCAGCAGCAGTATTTAAACCTCTCCTTGGCCATTTTAGCAGGACCTTTAATCACTGCTCATTGAATTTGCGACTCTAATCGGCAGATGCTCAGTGGAGGAGATCAGCGTCTGCTACCTGTTTGTACCAATTAGCAGATGCGTGACACTCGGCTGACGGCTCTTCAGAGGGTTAACAGATGTGGCAATTACGGCCTCATTTGAATGAATGCTCAAGGGGTTCAACATAAGGGCTGCGCAATTACACGGCAGCCTGGGAACCCATTTCATCTTCAGCTTTATTCTCGGTCTCTGCGAGAGGGAAGTGTTGGCAGGGAACCCACCGTGTGTTGACAAACAAACCTGCTTCCCGTGATTTTTTTTTTTCCACCGGGGAAAATATGCTGAGAGGTCCATAAACCCCAAAATGCGATGCTGATTTAGCCCGCTCTGGCCTGACTCGGGCTGCAGGAGAGCTTAGTTATGATAATGAATGGTTTTAAAGGATATATTATTGTCCAGGAAATGGTTTTATTCAGATAGTAAATTAATGAAAGATGTAATAAAAAACAATTTGAGAAGAGCAACTAATTCAAACCACAGACACTGGTTTTAACAATGTCAAATGGATATTTAATATAAATTTATTTTACATTGAATTATTATATGCTGTTTTTATTTATTTATTTATAAATTATTATTATTAATTTAATTTATTCATTTTTTTGTTTTGTTTTGTTTGTCTTATCTACATCTGAAATATTTATTCATCAAGTGCATCAGGTAAAGTTAAAGGCTAAAAATAGAAATTAGTTACTCCAGTAATTCTTGACTTAACTGACATGAAGCCTACACTGTAAAAAAAAAAATGCGTAAAATTTACGGTAAAAAACCGGCAGCTGTGGTTGCCAGAATTTTACCGTAAAAAATACGGTAGCAACATTTGAGGTTTTACGGTTGTAACTTAAATTTACAGTTAAATACCGTAATTTCATTAACTGATATAATGTTACTATACCAACCTATTGAAATACGGAAATCTGTTTCATACCTTTGTAATACACTGGTAACCACCAAATGCAGGTGGTGATGAGAAAGTCACATTATGAACCAAAGCCCATCACAAGCAGCTTTTAAATAATAACATATATAGAGGATGCACAGTGTCATTCACACAAACACTAAACAGCATCATGGTAACACACATGAAACTTAAATAATGCAATAAACATTCATTAAAGGGGTCATATGACGTTGCTAAAAAGAACATTTTGTTGTGTGTATTTGGTGTAATGCAATGTGTTTATGCGGTTTAAGTTTATTTTCCACATAATGCACATTATTGTTGCTCCTCCATGCCCCGCCTTTCTGAAACGCGTCGATTTTTACAAAGCTCATCGTTCTGAAAAGCGAGGTGTACGCTGACTGGCCAGCTATCCAGTGCGTTGTGATTGGCTGAATACCTCAAGCATGTGACGGAAATGTTATGCCCCGTACCATACTGTGATGCCCTGTGTCCCGGCGCGACAAGACAAAAACAATAAAACCCATTACAAACGAGACATTTGTTGCATCCAGTGGGGACATAATTACTGATTATAATGACTTATACTGTCTTTTTACGCGTTGCGTATCGCGCTGCGTAAACATAAAACCATGTCTGGAGAAACGACAAACAAGAAGTGCTACTCTACACTGCTCAATTCGGAGCAATGGCGGATTCGACGAAGGAGTGGCCGGCGGGCTTGTGGCAACCACATGTGACGACCCCAGGCTGGACTCCGCTTCGTCCACGGTGAAAGCCGATCTGGTGATCCACTGCACGAAGTTGATGTATTTCCTCAGCGACCAGCACGGATCAGCTCTAGGCATGACAAAGCGGATATCGTCCTCTTTGGGAAGGCCAAACAAAGTAATTTCGCTTTCACAACGAAACACATAGCGTCTCCACAACATGGCGCCGGTGGCAACAACAATACTACAGCGAGAATAAAAGTTATGCCTTCTTTCTTTGCGTGAACATTTGGGCGGCGTTATTCAAATCTTCCCACACAGTGACGTAGAATGAGCCATTTTAGGAGGGCGTGGCTGACTTTTGATTTGAGACTTTAGTCTTTGCAACTTTACAGATCTTCTTTATGCACCAAGAGCTTGTAAAGAGACTGACTTCAAAGAGAAAGGAAACATTTAAATCGCATCATATGACCCCTTTAAACAACATTAGGTGTAACACACAACCCTAATATACAAAAGTGATAAGAAAAAACTAAGAAGAAAGAAACATGGTCATTTCAACAAAAAAACATCAAATTTGAAATATGACGCAGGGAATTCTGGGAATGTCAATTTAAGTCTTTTTCACTTCCAAAAACGGTATACTACCGTAAAATTACATGTAATGTCCAATACAGTTTTTCACTGTATATAGTAGGGGAATTTACCATTAACCATTTAACAGGTTTTTAGTAGCGTTTTTACAGTCTTTTACCATTAAATTCACTGTCATTTTTTTTTTGTGTACTGTAATGTGACACCATGTATAAAAGAGATTTAATAGCTTATTTTCAATCATATTGTGTCCTCAGAAGACTGTAAAGTGCAGATAAGTCAGATAGTTCTGTAATACTTGCTTGTATAGTTGCAAAATGTAAACTATATTAGTGATTAGCTTTAAATGTGACTATAAGGAATGACGATTTTAAGATATTATAAACATTATATTAAAAGCAGCCCCAGTCACAATTCACTACCATTCTATGGTTAAAAAACAACAACAAAAACATGATATTATGCCAACATATTCTTCTGTTACAGGGAAGACGATATGGTTTGGGAGTACATAATAACTAAATCTTCTTTTTTTTGTGCAGCATCCCTTTAGGCAGTCACCCAGGTGTGAGCAGGGCACATATTCTTCAGATAGGACAGATGCTGAGGTCTTCCTTTAGCTCTCACAGGAGGTTTAGTGTCTGCCGATCAAACAGAGTGTGTCATTTAGTCTGAGGGCCTGATCAAATACACTTGCCTCTGCAGCCAATGAGGGGGGAGAGCTTGTTACTGGGCAGTTATGGGTTTAGTCTCTCTCTCTCTCTCTCTCTCTCTGTGTTCTTGAGGTCGATGTCATACATCAGCGTTCATAGATTCCCTGTGTGCGATTCTACTGAACATCAGCAGTCTATGCTGCTTTTAAGATCAGCTAATAGCATCAACTCAGCTCACCTCAGCAACACCAGCAATATTAGGCTTATTAGAGGAACACTACCTGCTGACATCAAATTATTTCTGTATATAGGAAGTGTCAAAGGATAGATTCATATTTCTATTGCTTTCTGTTCTTTTTTACTCCGCACCATCGTCGTGTGATGAATTCTAAAATAGGCTAGTTATGATTTGAAAACGTCTGTAGCTAAAATCTAATATTTTCTAGTTATAGCCTAAACGGGATTTAAAAAAAAATTTTTTTTTACATACTGCATTGTAGATGCTAAAAGGAAATAATAAACGCGAAAAGGGTATGTATGATGCGCTAGTGTGTTTCTGCAGTTCTCCTGATAAACAGCAGGCGGCGTCACGGACTGTCAGGATAAACAAACCGCCTCAGATCGTAGTCCGGGCTTTCCCTTCATTTTCTCTCAGGTTTGGATAAAAATTGAAAATTTGAAAGTGTCACAAGATTAAGTATTAAGAATAGCAAAGTGTTTTAGACGATAATACTACAGAATGGCTGGAAAAACATGTTTGAAGACGTTCCCTTAGGAAAATTAACCATGGTTTTACCACAAATAAAGCCAAAAAAAAAAATGATCAGAAGAAATGGACAGCACCTGAGTTAAATATATGAGCGTCACAGCAAAGGGTCTGAATACTTAGGACCATGTGATATTTCAGTTTTTCTTTTTTTAAAAATCTGCAAAAATGTCAACAATTCTGTGTTTTTCTGTCAATATGGGGTGCTGTGTGTACATTAATGAGGAAAAAAAATTAACTTAAATGATTTTAGCAAATGGCTGCAATATAACAAAGAGTGAAAAATTTAAGGGGGTCTGAATACTTTCCGTACCCACTGTATATATGATCTTAGTGTTCATATACCATTTTTGACAACAGTATCCATTATTTTACAAAGAGTTTTCAATCTTGTTTTCCAGGATTTCATATAACGCATGTGTTTATTAATCTTTGTATTCATATATTAGTCGTCGTCTTATATAAATATATATTATTTCTAGAATATTATTGATTATTAATCTTAATATACATTGACAAACAATAGTTTTGATTTAATATTCATATTTTACAAAGAGGTTTCAAGTATGATTTCCAGGATTTTATATGTGTGATATTAGTACTCATATAGCCTTTATTGACTGCAGTTTTGATGTAATATATGTTTGTTATTTTACATACATATACATGCCTTGGAACCTGGTATAAATAGCAGTGATTGCATTT